CACACACACACACACACACACACACACACGTCAAACCTACTAGCTAAAATCATCTAAGAAATAAAAAGGGCAACCACTCAAGTGTAACAGAGCAAGTAATTTTAAAAAAAACATGAGAACAAGCAGCTCAACCTCACACAAATGTTAGAAACTGTTGGACTTTTCATGCTACTGTAATAGCACATGGTGACATGTAAAATGGGTAAAGCTAAAAAAGATTAATTTAGACTTTTTATCATTACCCCTTAAACCTTCTTAATAATAACTCATTACACAGTTACATTCACAACAATAAAGATGAAGAACCACCAAAGTATCGACCAGGACATGCAGCTCGGTACCTCTGCTGCTTTGCCGTTATAAAGTCTGTAGTGGTTGCAAGCCTTGAGGTTGAGAGCAATAGTGGAGTCGGGGATACTCTGCAGGTACACGGCCAGCACCTCTTGGGAGACATCATAGTAGTCCAGCTTGTAGTAACACAGAGCCACGTACACTTTCAGAGCCAGAAAATCTCTGAAAAGACGAGATTTAAGATAAAAATGACTTTCTGGCTAATTTTGTCTTCTTTTTTTAACAAATATCTTAATAAATAAAGTTCTCACGATAATCATTATTATTAATTATTTTAAGCCTTCAAACACCAAGGCATGCAGACTGTTTCTACAAACATTTGTGAAAGAATGGGATGCCACCCGTGCAACAAGTCCACTTGGAAGATTTTAAAGGTTCTGTGATCAAACTTGCCAGCCGGTTGGAGTTTGCAGGTCCTCTCTGTTGTGGGGTTCCTCCCACAGTCCACAGACATGCTTGTTAGATTAATTAGTGTTTCTCAATTGGCTTTAGGTGAGTGTGTATAATTGTCTCTTTACGTGTCAGCTGTTTGGGATGTACCCAGCCTTTCACCCAGACATCACATCTATCCATCTGCACATGATCACAAAACAGCCCATCTTGGCAAGATAAAATAGTGCTCACATTGCATATAGAAGTCTACACTGAGAGACAGTTATGCATTTCAAAACAACACATTTTCTCACACCTAGCAAATGACAGAAACGTATTTTCTTGTGTCACGACTGTAGATATACATTCTCATGTTTAAATGAGAAAGTTGAAAAGGATATTTTAAGTTAACTGTAAATCTGAAAAGACTAAGATTTGAAGGTCTGTGGAGTGAAGTCTGTATCAAAGGGGGTCACTCTCCCTTTGCACTGTACCCACGAACTATGTGGACAATATCCAACGGTAACATCTAAAAATGTTTAAATCAGTGAGATCAGACATTAAATGGACTTTACTCTGCCAGCTCCAGTACAAAATCCTGCACAACAGCTTTTATCTTCCACATGTAAGAAAGAGAAACCCCCTGACAACAAATATTTTTTACAAATCTCTATTTTTCAATAATATATTTTTAGTGAAGTCAGATGGAGCTAAAAAGTCATTACAGGAACCAAACAAGCACAATCAAGGAAACACTTAAGACATGAGGACTGGATAAATGCAGTCCAGCTAAGCCAAATGAGGCACATCGAGTGTTTCAGAAAAGTCGATTCACGAATCTTCTCAGCACTAGTTTAAAATCTTTGCATTTCAGTGTCAGCAGTCAAAGGAAGTAGCGGTCCTCAGAGCTGCTGGCAGCTGGCAGATCTTGTACTGTCAACACAGTGAAACAAACAAACAAGCAAAAAAAAAACCCCACCTCAGCTGCTCACATGTTCCAAAGCCATGAATACATAATAACTCTGCAAGAAGAGGCAGGAGATGTCTACTGAAATCAAAGTATTTTCTTTTTCGCATCTGGATGCTCCAAATACAGCACAGTGGTTGGAGAAAGAAGGCTCACCAGGTCTACTGCACCGTCAATGGCACTATCTTTGTGTCTGCACGAAGTGTCAAAGTCATAAAATCTAATACCCCTCCATTAAAAGACTCTCACCTTTTAAGGGGTTCCTGAGATGCGCTGAAGTACAGCAGGAGTGTGAAACAAATGTCAAAGATTGAAAGGGAAGGAAAGGCACAGACCTGTTCTGCAGCAGAAGGCGTTTATAGATGTCTATGGCCTCCTGATAGTGCGAGCGCATGTAGTGGATGGATGCCAGGCTCAGCTGGTCCTCTGTCACATCCTCCAGGTTCTGGTGGAAACTCATCAGCCTCTTCTCATCATTGAACTGAGACGATGATATGAAGACAACGGACACGAAGGGAACAGCAATCAGAGGTGTGATCGCTTCTGGCAGCTGTAAACCTTACCTTCATGTGCTGAGCAGATCGTTTTCAGACACGCATTTTCTTTTTACATCATCTCTATTTTTGGGGGGTAATTATTCCTGTGTTGTGATTGACCAGGGGTTAAAGTGGGATCTGGCAGATCTGGAGTAGTAGTGCAGTTTTAGCCAAAGAATTGCTTAGAAATAACACTTGTAATTATTTATATTGTAACACTATTAATCACTGTTTTCTTTATATAGTTCATTTCATTACACATAAACTCATAAACTGTGCTTAACATAGAAGATAAAAACGGGTTTACAATGATTTGTCTTTGTGTTCAGACTGTGATCAGCAGACGTGTGGTACTCCAGCTCTCTGGGCTGGCTACTGGCTACTCCGGAGTTTAACGCTCTTTGTGGATCACTTCTGTGCAGTAGAGCTAGCAACATGCTCATCATTATACTAATATCTGTATGCATGAACATAGATGAGAACTACAGCGGGATGTAATCGGGGTGAGCGAGTATTCTGTGGCATCAGCTAGAAGCAACGCCAAGCAGCACACGAAAATCTAACTGGCTTTATATCATCCTTAGATTTATCTACTAATGGTTCCAGCTCACTTTAACTCCTGGTTATAACTGGCTTTAATATCACTGGATTCAGATCACTGCACAGGAATCATTTCTGACACTTGATTACTGCCAGAGCCAAACACACTTTCAGCTGTTTTTGAAGCTTCAATATATTGCAAAGCTGTGCTGACTGAGTAAAAACTGAGTAAGTGAGTGCCACTGATGACTGTGGTTGTAAAGACAAGGGAGAGGGCAAGAAAACATGAATCACACTCACAAACAAATCAGATGTAGATGAAAAAAAACCTTCAAAATCAGTGTTGCGTAAAAGAATTAACATGGTAGTCAGACAAAGCACAGAAAATACATAAAAGTGTGATAATAAAGGGATAATTTTCAAACCTTGTGAGCCAAGTGAAAAAGCAGCCTGTTTTGGAGGGGGGACATAGGTGCTAGGGAGAACAAGAGACACCAAATTCAGTTAGACAGCAAACCACACGAGAACAAGGAAACCATTCATTACAACATTACCTAGCTCTCAGTGGTTATATAACAACATCAGGACACAGAACTCACACAAAGAATGGGCCGTGGCTTAAATGCGAGGTAGTTCTTCAATCACACAGGATAACTTATTAAATCTTATCAGTAATCTCTGTGTACATCAAGTTTACACTCTTCAAAATAAAAGCCCTTTTTAAAAAATCCTGTAAGCTTTTTTTTCAATGAAAGGCTTAAAATAAACACTAAAACACACAAATACCAAATCTTACACAAGAGGAGCATCTTTTGAGAACAAACTGGTGCGCGACACATTAAAATTAACTTGGTAAGAAACAAACAAAATAAAATGCAAATCATATTTATTGTCTGTTGGATCATTATTCATTATTCACAGCTTTCTGATTGGCTGTCTGATGCTGCACAACGAGGTTCTCACACCAGACACTGATGTGTTTATTTAAAATAAAGTAAATACAGTAATCCTGAGTTTCCTTAAATGTGATGAAGCAAAGAAAAAAAACAAACAGATCAATGATTAGTCGTTGCAGTCTTTTTTTATAAAGCAATAAACTGCATCACCACTAAATCCTCACACGCTGATAACCCTTTTTGCTGCTGCAGGACAGTCTAGCTGAAGTATATTGATTTGGACACACAGGAAGGGTTTCAACATGTTAAATGTCACTAAATGTGGTCAAATTAACCTTGACTCTGTAATGTGCAATCGATATGCAATACCTCTGCTTTCAAAAGCTTGCCATCAACTGCTGAACCAAGTAAGTACACATTTTTATATTAAAGCAGTTGCTGCTCTTGGTAAACCAAACATGTCCCAGTCTGGGACTCTATTTGTAACAGTTCCACAGAATACTAGTGCACGTTTGCCCTTCAGTAACATTGTACACAAATATCTGCCTACCCTTGGATGCAGCCTCCTCTGCTTCTTTATAGAGCCCCAGAAAAAACAGGGCACAGGCCAAGTAGACCCAGACCTCAGCAGGACACTCAGGTTTGTTGGTCATCGACTTGTACTCCTATCAGGAAATGGAAAGAATATAATGGATAATCAAACATTACCCTACAAAAGCGTTTTGATATGTGAATAAAGTATTTGGGGGCTGTATCAAGGAAAACACGCGCATTCACACTCATGTACAACAAAAACTACCTCCATAGCTTTCTTGTAATCCCCCAAGTGAAAGGCGCAGTACCCAATCGAGAGGTCTGCATCCTCCTCTCTCTCGCCAATATTTTTCTGAAACTAGACATGACACAGCAAGACATGAGCATGTGCAGCAACACCGTTTGACGTTTCACAAATCAACAGTCTAAACAGCAGCACTACTTAGCCTCTCATCAAGGAGTTGTAAGAAACTAAGAATATACTGTATACTATATTCTAGTTTGATCTGCTCACACAGTCGTGACAATCTAATAATACTCTAACTTATCTCCCCATAGTCAGGGTTTGCCATGGGGGGGAAATGAGCCTTTGGAGAATAGCTATACACGCAGGTGCAACTGGTCAGCATACACTCACCAACATTTCATTACGTATATCTGTTCAACTGATTCTTAATGCAAATAATCGGCCAAATCACATGGCAGAAAATCAATGCATTTAGACATATTTAGACAGGCAGACATAGTCAACAGTTTCTGAATTTCAAACTGAGCATCTGAATGGTGAAGAAAAGTGATTTAAGTGACAATGAATGTGGAATGGTTGTTGGTGCCAGATTGGGTGCTCGGAGGATTTCAGGAATTGTTGAACCTTGAAGCAGATGTAGTGGTCTGCTGATTCTGATTCTCACGTAAGACCACACTGCACACACAGTGCAGGTCAGGATTCAGTTACTTTTGATTTAGGAATGCATAAAGTCTCATAACTGTTCCATCTAGGGAAGGGTAGCCCTTGTGAAAAGCATTAAATATGCTGTTGATCCCACATGTGCAAGAGTTCGAATGGGAAATAATCGAAAATGAATCTACTCACATATAAAGTCCTGAATTATCAGGCCTTTGGGAGACAATGGATAGATATGCAAATCTTTGTGTGCCCATCTTCAATTTTAAAGGCACATTGTACTTACATTTGTCAATAAACTGACACAAATCAATAGTGCTAAAAAAAAGAGAGCTGGAGATGCAGAGAATGACAGCTGAATGGAGGGAATTTTTTTTGTGTCTATCTAAATTTTAAAAAAACAAAAATGCGAAAAAGTTACACTGCAGGAGGTTAAAAAGTGGAGAGCCTCATCCAGAAACACATTCTTTGTGTATCTTATTTGTTTGTTTTTTCCTGCAAATGGGGAGTTCTTCCTCCCCACTGTTGTCAAGCGGATGTATATAGAGGCTCTTCTAAAGGTGGGGGTTCTCCCTCTATAACTGCAGGGTCTTTACCTTACGATATGCTGAGCAGAGGATACCAAAAGATGTGTACTGAGTTTTTCCTTAAGTACCTCTAACAACGTCAAGGCTCCCAGGTAGTCTCTCTGCTGCAGGTATTCCTCCAATCGGGGGAGCTTGCTTTTATTTCTTTTGTTTTTCTCACCAATGCTCGTTGATGTCTCTCCTCCCACGGCTGGCTTGACCCGAGAGAGAATCTACCGAGGAAAACAAATTTACTATATCGAGTTATAGCACAGCTTCTACCTAAATGGTGGGGTTAGGGTTAATCGGACCACCAAAGGAACGGTTAAGCAAGGCAAAAACAAGCAGAAATATATAATATTATAAGATATCAGAACATCCCTGGCGTTAAGTTTCCAAAAACATCAGCTCACCATTTCGATAAGTCTCTCCTTAGCTGAGGCTTGATTATCACTAACCCAGGTAACGTTTGGTGTTAGCTACGTTATTGCGTCCGTAACCTTTTACCATTTAATGGTCACTGTTGGTTTAATTAGTCATTAAAACCTCACAACGGGGTAAACGACAACTAAATTCTCTTACGGCTCTGCCGTGATTTAAAAAACAAAGAGAGAGAGAGAAGAAAATAACAAGTTTTACGCTGTGGCGTGGTGTATTTTCTACTTAGATGTCGATAGCATTAGCTAGTTTGTCGTTAACAACGACATGGTTAAAAGTTTCCGCTCGACGACTTTCAAAATAAAAATTACGACCACTAGGCTTCACAATTTAACGAGACTGTTTAACATCTATTCAACGTAAACTGTTTAACGGAGGCAGATTGCTTTCTCCTCTGAATAAGTCGAATACAAAGCTTGTAATATCGGGAAAAGGAACATAATACCATTTTGTATTCAATCCGAGTTTGTTGTTAAACAGGAAGCAGCACGGTTTTTCTACGTCTAGCTTGACTCAATGGTTTGGTCTTAGTTGCTTAGTAACCGAGTAGCGAGCAATGGCTGCGCCGTTTCATTGAGTTGGATTTATTCAGTACGTTTATTAAAAATAAAAATAGAAACATAGATATGGATTCCAAACCAAACAGAAAAAAATCAACCACTAACTTATCTTTTACTGCCTTTTAGTATGGTTTGTCACTTATCCTCAATTAATATTAGTATAATTTCCTCGAGACGACTCGTGCGCGCCCCAGTGGCCTAATGGATAAGGCACTGGCCTCCTAAGCCAGGGATTGTGGGTTCGAGTCCCATCTGGGGTGGAACATTTTCTTGGTATTTGTAGGTTTATCGTTCTTTAAGATACGTTTCACTTTACATAGTCATCATTGAAGCTGAGTGCAAACATCACAATAAAGATGAGTGATTCTCACTGCTTGATTTTTCTTTCTTTCAAAGACGTACATACCCTTTATACAAAAGTATAAAACATTATAGTATATGTCATGAAATTAAGTTAAATGAATATCACTTTGGACCAATGAATCTTTAGGTTAAGTATATGAAGTCCAGTTCACCGTACAACAATCAGCATTATTTCCACTTCAGCTCAGCAATGTTTATATAATGACAAATCAAAGAAATAATCCTCTGAAAGCAGTTTATCTTTCAAGGTAAGGACATAACAACATTTTAGAAAGGAAGCTAACAACCCAGGAATCCCATAGTCAAACTTACGCACAATAAGGAAACATAAAGAACATTAAAAAAAACAAAGAAATTACCTTTTAACAGTAAGAAACCTGCAGCAGAACAAAACTCAGGGAGGGGCAGCCATCTGTGACTGTTTGTGTGGGGATACAATAAGGATGTTAACTGTAAGACACAGCCGCATTTGTCCATGTGAAGCTGGGAAATACTGAGAAAAGAAAAAGTTATATACATCATAGAACATTGACTGGCAAACTCAATGAAAAGCAAACTCCAAAGCAACAAAAACACAATTATAAATGCATGGCTTGAAAGGCAAATAAGTTATTCTGAAGGCTACCTAGGTAGGCAGGCAGGTAGGATTTGTTTGTCCTCCACAGTAAAAACAGCAGTTCAGACACTGAAATTCACCATAAAACAATTTTGCATGTCCATCTTGATATTTGTTTCTACAAAACAAATATCAAGATGGACATGCAAAATTGTTTTATCATTGTGTTAATGATCCATAATCCACATCATGTTGTGTCTCCTCCTTTATCAACTCGATCCAAGTGACAGAGCTCAAAAAAGACAGTCTCATTCCTCCCGTGAGAAGAAGCAGGACAGAGAAGATCGTCATTGGAGCGCTCATTCTTACCAGTGCCTGCAGGTTGGCTGCGATCCAGATTGATATCTCAGAAGACACGACCTTGTTAGAGGCAGAGAAAATGTGCATCAGTAAGGGTCAGATTCCTCGTATCAGCTTAATGTGGTGAAGAAGAAAATGACCTGGGAGGGGGCCATGAGGCACTGCAGACAGAGTAAGAGTATCCTCATCAGCCTGCTGATGTAGACTATTATAGAAATGAATTATAGTTTTTTTTTTTTTATTAGCAGTAGATCAGCTAATCTAGAATCTGACATCCAACTATCAGACTCATTGAAAAATGTGCAGATGTCTTAAAAATAAACAAATACATAAAAATGTGTACAATTTTTATGCTGAGGGAACAAAATTTGTAGAAAGAGTGGTGAAAAAAATATCTCAAACATATTTTCAGCAATATGACTTTTTCAATAATGATTTAGCTGCTTGTATTTACATGAATCTTTGTGTGTGATATCTGTAGTTGAAGCAGTCTCTTGTCACCAATTTGCATTTGAAACCTTTCATAAATCTTAAATGGGCACCTCTTATTCAAAGATATAATCAAAGTAAATATTTGGTTCTGTGCATTTTCAAAAATATTAAATAGTCTATATATATATATATTTGCCTCATTTTATGCACGTCATTCTCCTGTCCAGCATATTGTATGACTTTGCAGACTCTTTAATGTTTTCTACTTCAACAAATTGTTCATTTATATTTCAACCAGTGATCCTGATCTTGAATTCAGTGTACAATAAACATCTGGCTTATTAACAACCAAATAATGGCTACCTGATATTTTATAACACAGTACATGTGACTGGGTCTCCCCTGGGGCCTCCTCCCGGTGGGACATGCCTGCAACACCTCACCCAGGATGCATCCTAGTCATTTGCCCGAACCACCTCAATTGGCTCCTTTCAGTGTGGAAGAGAGCGGCAATACCCTGAGCTCCTGAGCTACGAGCTCCTCACCTTCTCTCTAAGGGAGAGGCCGTCACCCTTCGGACAACAACATGACATAAAAACTTTATTTATAAACACTGAGCTCTAATACTGCTGCTGTGGTTGGATCAGTGAAAACGCAGCAATCACAGCACACATAAAAATATTTAGCTTATAGTTTTAAATATGCAGCGAGCTCAAACTTTCTATGTTTCTACATTGAAGCATCACACACACACACACACACACACACACACACAGATGACGAGCTACAACTATGTAAAGCAGGCTCTTAGTGTATTGGCTCCTGGCTGGTTCTAGTTCTGATTGGCTCTTATTTTTTAACTTTTAGCTCCACCTCTTTTTGATCCTTTGTCTCACTCCTTCACTTTTCTGATGGCCTGCCTCTCCCAGAGAGCGAGAGAGAGACTCTGCACGTGCATTTATGTGCATTTTTGTGACGCCCACATAAAGACTCTTCTGAGAGAGCACACAGTTCGTGGTGGCGAGTCGTCCCTGATGGGTGGACTCTGCGCCGTTAGTCAGGTCTTTGTTGTTCACAGCAGGCAACAATGACCAGTACACGTTGTAAACACAGCAGCCTGCTACACCAATCACACCACAGACTGTACCACACCATCCACATCAAGTCTCAATAAAAATGTCCTTTTAACACCTCATCAGGTAAGTTGTAATCAAATTTTTACCAAACCAACAATTAGTTGACACTGATTAAATCAAACCTGAGAACCAGAGTTATATAAATACATTTTGTAGCTAAATCCCTCTATTTTATGTATAATTAAGAGAGCCCTACAGCCCTTTTCAGCCAGCTATAAAGACATGAATGGGGTCCTCTGATCAAATATAATTGTCGTTATTTTTAGTCTCCTATTTCATCCTAGTTTATGTTTATGGTTGCACCAGCCTGACATTTGAGAACAGGCTGTTTTACAAAATTGTACAACCTGCGTCCACAGACACGTTTTAATGCACAGATCAATCCATCTGGGTTTATTTGGGGCCACCAACAACATATAATTAAAGCTTTATAGTATCACATCTGGTCATTTCTGAGCCTGCTTTGTGTTTATTGCACATTAGAAAATGGTCTGACTGCTTATTTTTCTAACATGACTGCATAACACACATTCAGTAGACCCTTTCACACCCCTTCAGTATATTTTCTTGCCACTGTTCTTTTAGAGGCTGTTGGCAGGTTGTGATGCACACTGAGGCTTCAGTTTTGCCACAGAAAACATGAGGGAAGCATGTAGAAAGAGAAAATGACATGTGAGCTCAAACAGAACATTTTGTTTCTCAATGTGAAATGGAAATAAATTTACTAAGCAAAATTGTTCAGGAAAGTTTGTGCCGACTTCCATGACACAAGTTCATCCCTGCAATTTTGCAAGCAAAATGAACCCAGTGCTTATTTCAATTTTACTTTTGGCTTTGAAGCCTGACTACATTAACCACGTGCTTTAATGTTATGTCACCAACACGTCCTTTTAGTGTGAGATAAATCTATCAGCAGCTTGTGTTATAACTCTTGGTTAGTTTTAATATAGCCATTTATTTACCTTTATCTACCCACATTAAGTGAACTTACCTGGGTGGTTTACTCTCCATTACAGACCACATTACATCAGCATAATCAGCTTCAGTATCACAGAGAAATAATGTGTATTTAACATGTATGAACTGTGAAGGCAACAGTAGTTTTTAGTATTTCATGTGGTCTTTGCTGATGCTCTCAAAATTCACGTGAAACATGGAGGTGTGGGGGTTGGAGTGCATTAAAGATGATGGGCGGAGTAAAAATCCAGGGTGTGGTAATCAAATTATATTTACATGATGTCATATGCATGAGATGCCGTGACAAAAGAATGAGGGAGTCAGCAGGAGGTGTTCCTCGATTTATTTCAAGCAATAACTGAGGAGGAAGCACAGGCTAAGGCTCATCACGCCAGTCGGCTGAACCAGCATGAAGACCCTGCTTTGGAAAATGCTCTTTATTGTAAACGCCTCGCCGTACCTGACAGGGCAGAAATTTGGTAAACATGTGTACGTGCAAAACAGGTTGAACTGGCATGCTGCTCAACAGTACTGCCAAACCAATTACGCTGATCTTTCCCCTCTAAGTACAAGTTGGGAAGAGAAGCAACTGAGAAAAGCAACCCTGGGAAAAGTTTCTGGTGAGTTCTGGATCGGTCTCTACAAAACAGGCACATACTGGAAATGGTCAGGAGGAGGATATGAAACCAGCATAGTTTGGGATGAGTCCCAACCATCTACATATTATGATCTTTTTGTTCGTGTGTGCTGGGACGGCTGTACCACGGGGACGGGATGGTTTGGTTCCTCAACATTGAGAATACTGCCCTTTTTCTGCTTCAGCACAACAGTGATGGAGGAGAAGATGGCTTGGGAGGAAGCATTGGAGTACTGTAAAGAGACACACACTACGCTCACAAGTCTGACCTCTGAGACTGAGAACCTTTTGACCCTGAAAGAGATCCAGCAGGGCACCGTCACCGATCGGGTGTGGATCGGGCTGTGCTTCCTGGCTGATCGCTGGCTGTGGGTGGACGGCAGCCCTCTGATATACGAGGCCTGGTCAGTAGGGGATCGGGAGCACCAGTGTCCAGGTCGAAATTACTGTGGAGCTATAAACAAAAACGGAGTGTGGGAGAATCTGGACTGCAAAGAGAAACTCAGTTTCATTTGCGTGTAAATCCCAATTGCATTTGAGCTGTTAAAGCAAAGGTTTCTTTCTCAGTTTTTGTTTCTCTAGTTTTTGTGCTGAGATTTAGAGTCATCCTGTTTTTCTTTCATCCTATGTAGCGCAGAATGACAAACATACAACACGAATGTCTGTCAGCTTTATTTTTCTAAAAACAAATGTAGAAAAAGTGTGAGAATGTTTATTAGAATTTAACTTTGATGTAAAAATTCATTTAGAAACTTTTGCATGTGTAAAAGACTTAAAAATGGATTCTCATAGGTTTGCCAACCGTTTTGGTTTTTAATCTTTAGTGAAGTGGCATTACTTGACGTCATCTTTATTAATGTTAGGCCGGTTCAAGAGAAAGGCTTCCTACATGCTGTGCTGCTGTATAAATGTTTCCCACAAAGAGCCAGAGAAGATCTGTTCTTTCTTAACCATCTTCATCAATAACCAGCTGCTGATCCAGTGTGTTCCTCAGTCTGTGGAGGTACTCCAGTTCCACAGTCTTGGCCTGCAGCTGGTGACAGTGTTCATCATTCTACTCTGCAGCATTTCAGTTTAATCCAGGCTTATTTACATGGCAACAATTTTAAAAACCTATAGTGGAAAGCCCCAACAATCAAGCGACCCCCTATGAGCAAGTACTTTGTGGCGTTAGACAGAAAAAACTTCCTCTTAGCAGGAAGAAACCTCCAGCCGAACAGGCTCAGGGAGGAGAGGTCATCTGCCATGACTAGTTAGGAGGAGTGAGGGGAGGGGAAAAGAAAAAGCGAGCAGCCCAGAGCTTCCAGCTGCGAGTGCTGATTAGAGCGGCCATCCAGTTCACAGGGGATCTTCAGAGCACAAAAAGGCTTCTGATGCAGTCCAGCTGCAGTGGATTGAAGTGCGCCTGATATCGGAGGAGAGACCTGAGACAACTGATTGATGCTGAGGACCGTTTTCAGCAAGGGATTCAGCAGGAGGCTAGCAGACTGAAGACTGACTGAACTTTCAAAATAAAAGTTTGGAGTGTAGTAGATAATAAATTTGTCTTTGATGGTCTTTGCATGAGAACAGATTGCACAATACATTAGTTATAAATATAATGTTATGGCTTTGGGTGCCAAAATGAATTAAATAAAACATCAATAAATAATTAAATTTATGTCATTAGTTAATTAAATGTCTCATTAATTAACACTGAATATTAAATATATAAACAAATTCATTTCATTTAAAATATTAAATACATTTAAAATTTTAATTGATAACACATTTAATTATTTAATGATGCCCTCCATACATTCTGTGGGAAACTGTATATGATAACAAGCAGATGCCTCATCATTGTTCTCACAGGCTAGCCCTAGATAATATCTATTGAATGTGTTACATCATCTAATTCTGTATATTTATCTTGACTGTGTTTAATAGCAACATGCATGTTCTGTCAGTAACGTGGATCACAGTGTAGTCGGTATGGTTTAGGAGAGATGTTCTGGATACAAAACTGCGAATAAAATGATCAAACGTCAAACTCCTCTTCATTTATAACACAAAGTCAAAATCATTTTTGGAAACAACAAAAACAAAAACAGGAGATTTTTATTCAACTTAAAAATCAGACAGGCACAGCATCTGTCTGAGCAAACACGCGCACAGACAGAGTGTCTACCGTAACACTGAATGCAGGACAGTCACAACAATGGAGGTGAGGTGGTGGGAATTATGGCACAGCTCAAGTTAAGACAGCAAACATGGAGGCTTTTAAATGAACTCCTACTTCACTACCTTTTTCCTTTAAACAGCCTGTAGGTCTGAAGAGACGCTCAGCGCCTCACTTTCATTAAACTGGGCTTATCTGCTGACTCACAGGAAGCCGTTATTATAAACTCCTCTCACGTAAAACACACAATTACTTCTTGGTGGCAACCATCGCTGATCTAAGATTGCACCGAGTGGTCTTTCAGTTTGCATTTTATGTACAGACACAAAGACATTATTCTCTATTATACCACCTCTTCGTTTATATTAATAATAAATAACATCTATGCAAACACTCTACAGGAATTCATTAGTGTGACCCTTTTTTTTTGTTAAATCAGCAACTCTGTATTAAGTCACATATTTACAATTCCAGAATGAGGCTGTACAAAGACAAGATCCACAGCTCCATCACCGGTATGGACTCTTTATAAACATGTCAGCGCAATGATTAAGCAATGCTTCACTTGCAAGCTTAATATTCTGGAAATACTGTTTGATCAGAGGAGGTACCCGACTTCAGCAAAACCTGAAATACTTAAATGACTTCAACTTCGCCTGGTAACCTAAATATATATATGTGTACTAAGAAAATAAATTTGTGAAAGTGCTCATTTAAATGCAGGGTGAAGGGCAACCTGCAGCGCCTTTAAAGGTGGAGTTTTCTTTTAAACGCAGAAATCTGTGTTTACATTCAGTGTTTCCTACAAAAATCAAATCCCTCATCATAAAATAAAGTCAAAGTTGCCTTTTTTAAAATTTATATATATATAATGCTACTCCTGTGTGCAGAAAACAAGCAAAACTACTGAGAATCAAAACCACAGTGCTACTGAGAAGCTCCACAGGTTGTCTCAAAATGAAAAATCCTACAAATAATCAAACAATTTATTTATAAAATTCCTTTAAAATAAAAAAAAAATCCATAAAATCCTGACTTTTTTGTTGGGTTTTTCTCGTGAGATGAAATCACTGCTATTCATTGATTTAGCTACAGATGTGGCTATCATTACGCCGAGTCGAAAACGCACCATAGTTTTATATAAACGTAGCTAGCAAAGTTTTAAGCAATACAGCAACAAAGGCTTTAACACAGTTATTAGCATTGGCCTCCATTTTCCCATAATGCAGCTGTGTGAGTACTGATTGTCTGAGCCTGAAACAAATAAACTTCTCTGCTTCTTAAAAAAAGAGATCAGTCAGCAAGTACGAAACATTGCTCAATCTTGTCAGAACAAATATGGCAGAACCTGCAGTGCTTTGCTTCTTCATCGGATGTAAGTGACACCAGCTTATTGAGTGTCTCGTTCGTTTCTACGGTATTTTAAAACATCGTCAAAGGCAACTGTTAGCCAGAAGAGCCACTGGCCCCGTTTTCTGATCGCTAGTAGCCATACCTCAGGAACATAAATATTAGGAGGGACGAGTTCACTTCACAGCAGGGAGTGTCACTACAGTCCGAGACGGACATAAGAGTGCTTCAGGTGTAACATCACAGTCCCAAACAGTTTCACCACACACAGCAAACACACAAACAGAGCACTCTTACTCATGTGTTTCAGGCATTTATCCACCTGCTTCCTTTGCTTATTATCTTGTTACAGCTGGCTCACTGACCCTATAAGCTCCTCAGCTCCATTTACTTCTTAGATGATAATAATAATAATAATAATAATAATAATAATAATAATAATACAGAAGTATCCTCTTATAGCTCTTTCCCTTCTCTTGCAGCTAAAAACTTTTGCTCTTCAGGATTTGAGGCCCATTCGAGCCATCAGCTGTTCATACACAGTCCAAGCCATGGCAGCCATGAGAGTGCGTCGAAGAGACCTGGGCACAGCTCCACGAAAAAACCCAGCCATGCCGTGCTCCTGAAGGAAAGGCCAGAGCAGCAATCCTCAGTTAGATGTTATATAATAGTGAAAGTGTTGCTTCTTACTGAAAAAACACAACAAGAACGTGAGTACACACCATGTAGATGCGGCGAACTGCACCGGCTGTGCTACAGTGGGAGGGTCTGACTTGAATGTGAGTCTTCACTACATCTGCAGGCTGCGTTACTACTGATGCCATGACACCCGCAATCACCCCACAGCTGAAGTTCACCAGCGGGGCGTAGGGCGCCGAGGTCACCTCTGAGAGAAGAGAACCCGAGGATGTCAGATGATTTAAATAAAAACAATCAGTCAAACCACAGAAAGAGAAAAATACGTGGAAAGCATTAAACATCACAGTTTCACAAAGAGCTGCGATGATTCATTGAGTAACTCGATTATAAAGCATATTCGACACAAATTTCTTGCTGTGATGTTTTAATGTTTAAAACTCTGTAGCGAGCATTTCACCCACATTTTTATTGGCATGTAGATACAGTGAGAGGGTTTTTGACAGATGTTGTTTTTGGGTAAAATACTAAAAATATTGCAGTTTCTAAAAATGTTACACCATGAAGCAGTGGATTGTTAAAGACCTGTGCTTTTCTCTTTTGAATATTTATTATGGCTCATTAATAAGACAAAAGTATTTATCAGTATTTAAAGTGTGAAAGGGTATTTTGAGAACGGCTGCCTTATCCCATTACTCTATTAATCGATACTCAATTATTTAAATGTTTGATAGCGGCAGCCCTAATGTACATCACCAATTCACTTGGCCACACCCCTAACAGTAGCTTGCAATTACAAGGCAAGAACCCATTTTTAGACAGTAATTACAAGTTACTATTAGGAGAAATGGGATGCTCTGTAACACAGGCCTCCCATCATCTTAATAATACTGTTTAATTACAGAGTAAGAAGGGGAAACAGGATATTCTATATTAAAGCCTTCACTCCTAATAGTAACTTGCAATTACCATGTAAGAACCCCTTTTGCACATTGCAATTAAAAGCCTTCACATCCCCTCAATGATACTGTGCACCTACAACAAGAGACAGAAGGTTACACAATAATAAAACATGAACCTCTAATATTACTAGATAATTAGAATTTACAAAAGGAAAACAACCTTCTTTCTTACAATATACTCACAGCATAATTATTGTTACTCAGTTTTTTTCTCTCTACCGACATTTTAAGCATTTGTCATAAACCATTTAATTTGTTTACATGGTAAAAGTTGGGAAACTACATCAGAGCCGTATTATGAAGCGCTACCAAGACATCAGTGCTCACAGTGAGGGTTTTCCACAACATGTTGCTTCATATGTTTTACATCAAGTGCTTTTAGCACAAAAAAGGTGTGAAATGGAAAGGAATTGTGAAAATGGGAATGCATCAAGTTCAGGATTTTTGCTCATAATTAAATAAAAGTTCTCTTATTCACAAGGGGCCGTCACAGCGGGCATCTCCGCATATCTTGACTGGGTAGATTTTTACCCTGGCTGGTCTTTCTGACACAACCACAAAGGGATTTGTGTCTGCTCCCAAGACTGAATCCAGGATCTTTCGTGTGTTATGTGAATGCAGAAACTGCTACACGATGGAGGGACTTGTCAAAGAAAATAAAGGACTTTCTCTAATGGTTCATATAAGCTGGGCTACCTTCTGTGGTGGACGTGAATAAATGTGATTGTGATTGTGCAGCATACAGCTGCTTGCAGAATTTTTAGCCACCCAATTTACTTCTTCAGTCATTCATTATCAGTCTGTTCCCAGCTTTACAGATTTTGCTCACAGAACGAACTGTACAAGCACTAAATCCACCCGATTGATTTTCTGCACAAGCGTTAAAACACTAATGCAAATTTCTGCATTATGTTCCTGGCAAAACATAACTCTTCACATTTTTCTTAACCTTCATTTTGATCTGCTGACTGAGTGTGACTCTCACCTTGAGGCAGCGCTCTCTTGGCCTGGCTGTAAAACATGACGTAGATGCCGGAGAAAGGAGCGTCGCGGAGCAGCGTGGCAGTCAGCCCAGAAAACAGAGCCCTGATTCCCTCCGTCTCATACATACTCCTCAGAGCACCGGGCACACTCACATAACTGTAAAAGCCACTCTGAAAACCACAGAAAAATTGAAATGAAATGTCTTTAATCATGCGGTTGATTGAGTGACAATAGATGTAAATGACTGCCTTTGTATCCACACTACGTGTCTCCACAGAAAAGAGGGTCATAATAAAATAGAGCAAAAACCTCTGACTAAAAGCAGTTCCACAACTTTATTTTAAAAACAGATGTGAGAAGATTAGTAGATATTTCATCTCTGACCATCTGACGTCAGAGTCTGTTAGCTGGTAGATACCTCGAAGCGCGTCTTGATGACTGTGAATGGTAACATGCAGACTCCGGCCACAGCTCTGGCACCCGCTCCGAGCAGAACTGCCTCGCCAGCGTTGGGAGCTCGGTCCAGGAAGAAGTGCTGCTTCAGGGAGTAGAAGGTGCTGAAGTAGATACCCACCCCAGGGATGCAGCGCACAAATGACTGCAGAGGGAGAACAGTTTTTGTTGTCTTGGTTAAAAACAAAGGCAGAATTTACATGGGTTTCTTAGAGGGGAGCATGTGCTATGAGTTTGAGTGTTGGTGGGAGAACAAAATTTCAATTCAGTTTATTTATATAGCGTCAAAATACAACAACAGTCGCCCAAAAGTTCTATTTATTGTAAGGTAAAGACCGTACAATAATCAAAAGAAAACCCCAAGAATCAGACGACTCCTTATGAGCAACCACTTGGTGACAGTGGGAAGGAAAAACTCCCTTTTAAAAGGAAGAAACCTCTGGTAGAACCAGGCTCAGGGGAAGGGCAGCCATCTGCGTACAAACATGCAACAAACAGGATTTGTTGTAAATAATGAAAACGGTGCATTCAGTTGCTCACCGGTGAAACACCTTTCCACAGACTGAAGAACTTCTCTGTCCTAATAACATTGATGAAAACGCTAAACATTCCCACCTTGGGTGCGCTGCAAAACAAAATTTTGAAATCAATACAAACAAATTAAATTGTGCAAACAAAAAAAAACAAAACATTACACTCTACTGTGCAAAAAAACTTAAGCCTCCTCTAATTTATATTTTGCTTCCAAGGAGCCAGGCTTTCTGAAGGTCTTCCAAAGTTTTTTTATTTGGAAATTGGCTGCTTTTCCACCAATTTTCAGTCCAGTCCTTGTACCCGACCACTTTCAGGAACTTATTTATTTTTTGGTTTGTTAAGCCACTTAACACTGACCTATGAGTCATTAGAGCATAAAATAAGACACGTAACTCAAAGGATGAACCAGCGTTGTGTCTACAAACAAACAACTTAACAAAAATTTTATTCTAAATTGTATCTTTAGGCACGGCGGTTAGCACTGTTGTCTCACAGCAAGTAGGTCATGAGTTCGACTCCATCTTTCTGTGTGGAGTTTGCATGGGTCCTCTTCCTCCCACAGTCCTAAGAACTGTAGTTAGTGGGGCTAGATTCATTGGTGATTCTAAATTGCCCCCAAGCATGAACGTGAGTGCAAATGGTTGTCTGTCTCTCTGTGTTAGCAGATTGGCGACTTTTCCTGGGTGTACCCCGCCTCTTGCCTCTAACTGGTATAGGCTCCGGCCCATACCAGATAAGGATAAGCTAAGTGGATGGATGGATCTTTAGGGACTTTTTTAAGAGCAGCCTGTCATAAAAACACATCATCTGTTCCCATTTTCTTTACTTAAATCTAGAGACCACAGTTTGACAGGCATGAAACACTATTTTTGCACCAAGAAGGTGATTGCCAAAGAGCTATTAGCAGAAAATTCAACATGTTCAGCGTGATGCGTTCTTAGGAAAATGGATTGGCCTCCCCAGAGCCCAGACCTCAGCAGTGACCTCAACCTTAACAGAGAACAGAACAAAGGGCAGCCAACATCCAAAGGAGAGCCTTGAACGTCCTTGAAGAAGCCTGGAGAACTATCCCTGAAGACTACTGACAGAAATGACAAGAAAATTTGCCCAGCAGAGTTCAGACTGTCTTGATGGATTAAAGCAGCTACACCAAATATTGTACAGTTCTAATGACTTGAAAGTCAAACTATTTCCATACACTGCTCCACTAGTTTTCAATTTTCAAAGCAAAACATAAATAAATGAGGGGTGGCCCAAGACTTTTGCACAGTACTGTAAACACTCAAAGACATGCTGACAATAAATGGTTACAGCTGTGGTGAATCGCTATTGTGAAATCAATTACCACAGAAATGATCCTTCTGGAGCTCTGTGCTAAAGAAAGGCCTCCACATGTGAAATAAATAAAACTCCACTTTTAAATGTTTACATTTGCTGTTCTCAGTGGCTGTAATTGCAACCCAGCAGCCTGACAGCATAATTACATCCTGCTGGTGTGACTAACTGCCCCATATGGGTCATACCAAGAGATTGAGGCTGGCACTGCCAGAAGATTTTGTCCTCTTATGCTTTGTATGTGTGTGTGAGTGGGTTAAAGTCAGAAAAAGAGAGGGGGAGAGAAAAAAGGATAAAATCAGAGGCATGGTGATGTACACGTGTCTGATGTACATGCAGGTGAAATGTTCTCACTGTGTATCTGTGTGAATGTGTGTGCACACACCCGGGCTTGGCATTGTTCTGCAGGGTCTGCAGTCGTGTCTTCACCAGATCCAAAGGCTGGAAGAGGAGTGTAGAGCAGGTGCCACTGAGGGAGCCACACATAAAGGCTTTGAGAGCTGGGTGAGCCTGAGGACAACGACAGACATAAAGAAGGACGACGGAGACCGACAGAGAGACGAGGAAAAGGAAGGATGGGAGAAAACCAACGAGAGGACAAGTGAGGAAGTGACATGAGAAAGAAATGGCGGACCAGAAAAGAGGACAGAGACAGAAAACAGACAAGAAGGGAGATAAAGCAGAAAGAAATGTAAAGGATTAGTCACAGCGTAAAAGAGGATAACGAGAAAAATATGCCGTTCAGCATCTTCTTCGACACTGGTCACCTCTTGCTGAATGGCAGAGAAATCTGCAGATATTCATTCTCAAACAACTATGCATAAAAACAGCTTGACAAAGCAAAGAAAATATCATCATAAATATACATGAATTGGACTTAGGATTAAAATCTAAATATGTTTGTGTGACATTTCCACTGCAATAAAACACCCTGTAGCACAGAGCAGAGGCCAGGTTCCTACACAGTGGAGATGATGGAGATGTGTAGAGACAGTTCACTCACTCACTCACAGACACACACACACTGTCTGTTGCATAGAATTAAAGTGAGACTGAACATTATCAGTGGGTACATGCCTTGTAGACAAAAAGGCAGGCAGAATGTGACACGCAGACAGGGGCTAAATTTAGCTACACCTGAAGGTAAACTGTTAAACAGAAATTATATCAATTGGCAAAAATAAATAAATATTCCAACAACAATAACAAACCACAAATAATCATAATCAGCCTTCTATACGTTGCCTTTACACACACACACACACACACACACACACACACGAGACACTTTAAATCACACGTTGAGCACAAAGATGCTGTCCTACCTTCCCCGGGATGCCCGGGGCTCGGCTCTGAGAATCCTGTTTTTCCTGCATTTTGCCCACTTTCACCTCCCTCTATCTGTGATGCTGCTCTTACAAATAACATATTATAAAATAAACCTCCATCTCTTACAAACCTTCCCTTCGCTCACTCGCTCTCGCCAACCTACAATGGCTTTTCTCCTGCTTCCCGTCCTCCCTCCCCCATTTCAGCAGCCAAAGCAGAAGCTTAATCTAGCCCACGTTTTTCTACAGGCTTCTATCTTTATCTTTCAAACACACACACTCGCGCGTCTGTATTTGGCGCTCGCCCCTCTGTATAGCTCAGTGCTAAAATGCATTTTTTTCAAATAGCATGAGTCATGGAGCAGTTCACGTGGACATTACATTCAGGTCAATCATAAGGATGCTAGTTTTCGTTTTAACAGGAGAAAATATGAAGCTATACACCGAGTCACTTTATTAAGAATAGCTGTTCAACTACTCGTTAATGCAAATATCTAATCTAATTAATGTAAACATGGCCAAGACGACCTGCTGAAGTTCAAACAGAGCATCAGGATAGGGAAGAAATTTAATTTAAGTGACTTTCAACATGACACTGCTGTTGGTGCCAAACAGGCTGGTCTGAGGATTTCAGAAAATGCTGATCTTCTGGGATTTTTCCCTACACAGTCATCTCCAGGGTTTATAGAGAACGGTCCAAAACAAAGGAAAACAATCCAGTGTGTGACAGCAAAAATGCCTTCCTGGTGTCAGAGGTCAGAGAAGAACGAACACACTGCTTTGAGCTTTAACTAAAGCAACAGTAACTCAGATAACTACTCGTTACAACGCAAGTATGCAGAAGAGCATCTCTGACCAAACAACAGGTCAAACCTTGACGCAGATGGGCTAGATCAGCAGAAGATCACAATGTAGCCAGTCCATAGATAAGGAAATAGGAAAAAGAGGCTATAATTCACATGGGCGTCGATTTGCACCAATACTGGACAATACACGATTGAAGAAATTCAATCTTATTCTAAGAGTTTTAAGGTGCTTTACATTGTAAGGTAAAGGCCCTACAATAATACTGAGAAAATAGACAAAACCCCAACAATCAAGTCGAGACCCTATGAGCAAGCGGATGAGTCTGGTTGGATGAGTCTCAATTTCTGCTGTCAGATTTGGACAGTAGGGTTAAAAATTGGTGTAAACCACATGATAGCATGCTCTTTTTGGTGTAATGTGTGTTATATTTTGTGTGTGTGACGACTTTGGGCCTCATAGTACCAACATAATAGAGCATTGTTTAAATGTTACTGCCTATCTGAGTACTGTTGCTAAAAAAATTCATCAATTAAGGATTACAGTGTACAAGCCTGTACCTAATGAAGTCGCCTGTGGGTCTATACTGTCATACAAGGTGTGCATTTCCCTAGAAATACTGAGAGCTACAATTGAAATGGCATTTCTATAAGTAAGCGACAGACATCACTCATGTTTCCCTGCGCTAAAAATCCCAACTGTTATACGAGGGAAACGTGTCGCATCAGGTAATTGACCATTTGTCTGCATGCTGTCAATGACAAACATGGCAGCACTCACCGCTGCCAACTCCATCTTTGAGCTGGATGCTGAGCCGGACGGGTCCAGTTTCTCCTGTGCTGCCGCCGCCGTTTTGAAACCGGTTAGGTTAGGCCACAGTGGATTCAAACTGGAGAAATCAGATGGCAGCCATGAGTCACATTTCAAAACATTGAGGTTGCCGGTGTAGCGGCTAATTTAGCTGGCTAGCTAGCTGTCACCAGTGTGGTAAGGTGAAGTTAGGACATCGGCCAACATTCACAAGCCAGCTGTTCTTAAGTCATATAACTGCCTTAAAGCGACCAAAGATGTGAGCTCCAACAGGCAGATTAGTTTCAGATATTCAGAAAAAGTCACTCAAACACATCTAGCGACTAGCTAGCCTGGTAACGTAGCATGCTAGCTCCTCTTACCTGATGTTGCAGTGTTTCAGGGATCGCTGGAGGTGACAGCCACCGCTGTTAGCTGAAGAAAGTCCATATTTTATATTTACTGCGATAGTCTGAAAACATTTCCTTTAACCCAGCGTTACCTTTAACACGTTAACGCCGCCTGACAGGGCTAGCTCAACGACGTTAGTGTTAGCTAGCCAACTTCGTGAGTTGTGCGAAATAAAATGTAACGCTAACACGTCTGAGTGTGAGTTCCAAATAAACCGGGTGTGTCTTCAGTCAGACCACGATCACTAAACACGGGAGTGGTGAAACGCGAATCATCACATGTACCTGCTGCGGCTGTTAGTGAGCGGCCGGTAAAGTTCACCTGCAGGGCAAAGCCGACACACACAACTAGGGTATGTGGGTGCGTGTATTGTCAAACATGTTATGTGTCGAGGTCAGTGTGACAGATATCCATCTTTTTTTTTTCTTATTGAGATCCTTTATTTGACTTTTTCTACATAATTGAGTTTATCTGCTTACAGTGATTTATCATTTATTTATCTATTTCTGTCACACTTTTATTTGGCTATAATTGTATTTCGGCCGTTTTGCTATAGCAGAACGTATCCTTTACGTATGAAAACAGTTTGCCGATTTTAAACTTAAATGTTTAAATATTAGAATTATTTAAACATAGATAATTTGAATATCTCCTCCTAGTTTTTATTTTAGAGCACAAACCAGGACATGCATGCACTGTAAAATGTAAGTTTCTGTATTTCTGACAATAGCCTCAAGATGGCGCTGCTGTTCCACAGAAGATGAACATTGCAACAACAAGGTTTACTTGAGATTTTCTTTCATTATTATAGGTTTAGAATAATCACCACTTGCTGAGTATATCAGAGGGACAGCTCTGATTGAGCTGTTTAGAGAACAAGGTAGTGACGTGTTGAGACGAGCCATGGTCGAGATATATTTGACAAAGGATTTTGAAGATTGAGCTGCCAGGCAGGAGGAAAAGAGGAAGACCACAGAGAAGCTTCAAAAATGTAGGAGGCAGATGATTTCCTGTGGCGACCCCTAAAGGGAGCAGCCAAAGAAGATTTTACAAACACTTTGACAGTCTTTTAAAGGCGTCCGATTCCAATAAACACCACCAAGCAAGAGTTAATAGCAGAATAAGCAGCTTGCCATTGGCAAAGGTTTGGCAAGTTTCTCATGGGTGCAACCCACATACTCAAGTTTGCTGCTCAAACAACAAATGTGACAACATTTACAGGGAAATAACCAGGATTTCCAATAGCATAACATGTATTACCAAGAAGCATTAGTACAAAATTATAATTGATCAAACCACTTGTGGCAAGTTTAAATGAAAGTAAACTACTTTTGGCAGCCTCCGTTTCCACAAGGGGTTACCACAGCAACATAGCTGTGCACGTCTGATTTTGTGCTGATGAAGGCCACAACAGTGAAACGTGAGCATAGTTGGCCAAAATAACGTCTTCCCTGAAGCTTTGCAACTGCTCCTTTGGGTACTTTGAGTACCCAACATGAAGTTGCACAACATTTTGCCCAGAAAAAACAAAACCACAACACAACACACAGACACACCATAACAAAGAGGGAACAATTTGGAAACCCCAAGATTTCAAGTTTTATAATCTGCAGATTGTCCCACAGAACCTTTCAGTCATCATAAAGTGGACACATGATTACAGAAAGCAGCCCAAAGGCCGACTCTGAATCAACTACAGCTCAAAGTGAATAATCTCACAAGACGCAAGATTCAGATGCATTTATTCTCCATTTATTTCATTTAAGGCATTTTATAAAATGTAGAACAGCCTTACAATATTGGCATCGGTGTCCTGTAATTTCTTGATTAATACAGTGGCAGGTATTTACCTAAAATAGGGCGAGTTCAGCGGGTAGAAACTAATGTGCCAATAGAAACCATTTCAGCTGCAAAGCATAGCACAAAACAGGAGACAGATCCAATACATGATGACCCAACACCAGTAAAGTATAAAGCCAGTGCGTGGGGGCTAACTACCTATATTACTGCATTCCACTTAGAAAGATCTGAACATTTCAGTCGTGTTTGAGTTGGGATTGTGCAATCTGGCTGAGGTATTAACAGAGTGAGGAAGGGCATACAGTACCAACGTTATACTGACACCAGCACAGTGTGAAGCACAAAAACTCCCAGAGTGTCCAAAACTAGCACAAAGTGACAACGTTTTTTTTCTCCCCCCCCATTTATATCAACACATCGACCTCCATCTCAGATAAACTGGAATGTTTGTTTAAACAGTGATATGTGTCATGACATACACGTTAAGTAGAAAAATATACTAAGAAAGTTTGTAAAGCTTTCATAGAAAACATTTGCTGACATGAGTAAGATTTGGCCAAATAGAAATGCATTACACTTAAAGCAGGATGAGGGGAGGGAGGGGATGCAAGGTTACATTTATATGCATTATTTTTGTGGTCCGAATTTCCCTCCTGGCTTCTCGTCCTGCTTTTCACTCAGCTGCACGTTCAGATGATTCACTCGGGAGTCCGCTATCATCGTCGCTGTCCCCAATACGATTCAGGTTATGTCGCAGAGTGTGAGACACGTCTCCACGCCTTAAGAAAAAGGAAAAACCATTAAAACACAAGTGTAGCACTTTTGGATTTTGCCCATCCTTCACTTTGTGCTTTAGTCCTGATTGCCTCAAGCTTTAAGAAAATCCTCAATTGTACACTTTCCCATAATGCATAACGTAGCAGGCTTCCTTTAAATGACATTCTGTAAATTCAGCTGCTTTTGACGGCTTTTAATTCTTTACCCCTTAAAGAACTGAGCGGTCTGTGTCATATTTCAGGACTTGCAGAACACAACAACTGGGTTTGCATCAGAAGTTAGTGAGGGTGGTCTCTGCCTATTCAGCTACCCTTCTAAAACCTAGGAAACTATTCTAATGGGCCTTTTTACTAATCTATACTGAGGTGTCAAAACTCATCATTAAGTGTTCAGCAAGGTCGTCAAATGTCGCCTCAATGGGGCGAGCGCTGCTCAGCTGTTAACCCGAACACACTGTCATTACTAACCATTTGTTTTAAACGGTCCAGGAGAATTTTGTGTGACACATCTCATATCCTGGACTTGTTCTGACACTCTGCATATTGCAAGTTTAAAGTTTCAAGGTTCTTAATAGCAGCCTACAGGATGGTGGACATCGAGTTAGTGCAGCAGCCATGCCTACAATCAATGTAGATTTTGTGCTTTGAATGCACGTGGTCATTATAATGTCTGTACTGTCGGCAACATGGAATATAAAACAAATTTCCTTTTTGGAAACAAAAGAATTTTCATGTAAAAACAAAAAAACAAAACAAACACGAGTTCCCCGACAAATGCCACTACCTAAGCTTGCTCTTCAGAGAGGAGACCTCACGGTTCATCGAGTCTGCTGACTCTGTTGCATCATCCAGCTCCCTCTGCAGCTTCCTGCGGTAGGCATTGGCTCTTGTCAACTCCTCCTCCGATTCCTCTAGCTGACGTTTCAGCTGACGCATTCGACTATTTGCCTTTTCAGCCTGCGGAGAACAGTCAGTGTGGGAACAAGCACATTAGCAAGGAATCAGGCTTAAATATCAGGATGTCTTAGTCCTTGAATAACTTTGAATTTACAAGTAAAGCGTGATTGGGTTAACCTGATCTTTGTACTGATCCATGTTGCGCCTCTCGTCTTCAATCTGTACCAGCACCTCTTTCAGCTTCTTCTCTGTGCGCCTCGTCAGCCTGGAGGCCTGCTGACGCTCCCTGCAGTAAACGAGAGATATGTTGCAGTAAGAAAGCAAATGCAGTATATAAAACAAACGGTCCATTTCATCGCCCCTCACTTTGACTCTGTGTCGAGTTGTTCTTCCAACTGGGCAATCTTGGCCTCTAGGCTGGTGATGGTGAACTTGTACTTGGACTTGATGGTTCCTTCAAGCTCCTGCAGCTTCAGTTTCAGCTCCTTGTTCTGGCGATCCAGCTGTGAGCGAGCGCCCTCCAGCTGCTGGGAGTTGCTGCGCTCTGTGCTCACGTCTGAGGTCAGCTGATCGACCTTGTGTCAGACACACAGGAGAGTTACCGTACTGCTGATAACCACATGCCATATTCTGTAACCAATCCAGTGCCTTCATAGTTAAAGTTAGATGCAATTCAACAATTTAAACTCAGTTTTTCTAAACACTTTACAGATGAATAAACTTGCATAACAACCAACTTTTCACAACAACTGCAAAATTACCAACCAGGTTAGGCAGGTTTTTAAATGTTGAGGTAAACGCTGGAGTTTCGTGAATGTTCTGGAGTCTTTCATAAACTGTTCATGTTGGGTCTGAGTCTGTGGACATTGTGGAGAACTAAAAATACCTTTGAGTATACATAGACAATAAACTGGACTGGGTTAAAAACACCACTGCACTTTACAGGAAAGGCCAGCATCTTTATTTTTTGGGGCGGCTGAGGTCCTTCAACATCTGTTGGAAATGCTCCGGATTTTTTACGAGTCAGCTGTGGTCAGTGCTATCCTCTATGCTGTTGCATGCTGGGGGAGCAGGTTGAGGGTCACAGATGCCAACAGACTCAATAAAGTGACCAAAAAGGCCAGTAATATTATAGGGATGGAGCTGGACTCCCTCGGGGTGGTGTCTGAGAGGCGGACGTTGTCCAAGATAAGACAATGCTGAATACCTCCCACCCACTCTATGACGCGCTGGCTAATCACAGGAGCACGTTCAGCGAGAGACTGAGATTACAAAAAGCACCACTGAACGACACAGGACATCATTCCTGCCTGTAGCCATCTCCCTGTACGTCTCCTCCATCTAACACACTGCAATAGTTACACCCTTTTGGCACACACTCTACAGTAAAGTAGCAAATGACAAAGTTCACAGGTTAGAGTCAAATGTCATATATTCTGCCTCTAATATTCTTGATATTTATTTATAATCACCTCTGTAAATTCTTGATGTTTATAATTAAGCGATTTGTATATATTAGTGCTGTTCTTAACATATTGAATTGTTTAAATAGTTTAGTCTGTCACTGTTACCATCTTGGAGCAACTGTAACCCACATAATTTTCTTCGGGATTA